ATATATATACATACTTAACCCACTTTTGCATTATTGTAATGTTTAGGGACGAAAAAAATTGTTGATATTGATATCATTGGCGTTATGGCCGATAGCCGATATTTACCAATATTACACAATATTACATTAACACAAATATATCATTATATGTACACATCATCTAAAGCCAATAGTGATCAAGATCCTACCTCCCCACTGTAACCACTGGGTTTGTGTGCGTCTGTGTGCGCGTTAGCTGCCTAGTAAACAGAGATCAGACGGAGAAATGTAAAAAAATAAGATGTTAATGCACGTTAAAAGAGTTATCGCTGTTAAGCGCCTGCTGCGATTTTAACGCGTTAATGTGCCCAGCACTAAAAATAATCAATTTCTGCCATTTTAAGTCAATCCAGGAATCAATCAAACCTCCACTTCTTTTAATCTTCAGTGACTTGAAGATAAAAACTGTTGGAAGTCAACCTGTTTTGTTCTAAAATCTGAACACGGCACTAAAATGATCTCCAGAGAAGACTCATCTCTAATGAGAATCACTGCAGAACAGTGTAATTATAGTTCTCTTGTTGCAATGTAAATTATTTTTCTTCTTTTCCCACTTTTATCACCTAAATGTACTATTTGGACGGTTGCATTTTTAATCAGCCTGTAGACCGAGGGATCAAGCCTGAGTTATGATTTCAGAGCCGGCAGTAAAGTTCCACACGGCYGTCCGACCTTCTTGGCTATAAACAACACGTGTCTGGGCGTCCATCTGTCTAAATCACACCCTGTCAGGGGCTGGCTTTCAGTTCTGGTGATGGACAGCAGATGGGCAACCGGCCAGGTCTTCTGCTCAGTGGGCACGCCTGGCTTCAGATAGCAGCCCTTTGGCTTTACTTCCACTTTAGGCACTAACGTGGCATCCTGCAACTTTTCCCTGCTCTCACTGTGTCATCTGACCTTGTCATCTCAGAGCTATAAACATGAAGGACGCCAGGCATCTCTGGGATGTTTTGATAGCCTCTAGTAGTTATGGTGAACCTTTGGTGTCTGTGTGTGATGAGAAAACACGCCTCACTGCCAGATCCGCATACTGCCACTTCAGTGAAATACTGTCTACTGTATGCAAGAAGGCCGTTATCATTATGCTAACTGAATTATTTGCATTATTGTGCGCCTCACCTCATAAGCACTCAAGATGGCACTATCCATCTCCCCGCAGCCAGATGACCTTAAAGGAAAATCAACCAGGCAGCAAATCCAGCAGCTTGCTTTGCTTATACACATAACCATTAGAGCTTTATTTGATTGCACTGTTCCCTGACAATAGCCTTTTTTTGGCACGTTTGTACCACTCAATGCACTTAATCTCACAGTTTGCCAACACACACACACACACACACACACTCACTCACACACAAACAAAAACACATCAGAAAAAAGAGATGCTCTAGCAATCTTTTTTAATTTCTAACATTAAGAGTTTGATCTAAAAATCTCCCTTTCAATTTTCCTGTGACTCTCAGCCTGTTGAAACACCACTATTAGCGGTAGCAACACAAACTCTAGCCGTGTTTTCGTCTGCGTTGTTGTCATGCGCATTTCGAAGTTTCGCATCAGAAAAAGGTAGATGAAAATAGCAAAATTCGCAAAAACATCCTCATTTTCATTTGAGGTGGTTTTTGGATTTTCCGAAAAAGAGTTAATGCGCAAAAGGGGAGACGGAAATACTGAACAAGTTCTGACGAAACAAACATTTGCCTCGATCAGTTGTTCCTGCTATCCAATAACTGTAACCTCCTCCCGCTGTCGGTGTCTTCTTATATTTTCCCATAACGTGAAGAGAATTACATTTCTTTTTTTTATGTCTCCAGACAGCATGTAACATCACCAATACCAGCTGACATGACAGAATAATTACAACTTTCTTGATAGTAGCAACACGTTCCTGCTAACCTCTCTCCAAATGCAGAAGTGTATCCCTGGGAGTTTGTGACTTTACTTCCTGTTTACTACAACCATGCATAACGTCAACGTCTGACATAACTACACTTTCCTGGTTGATTCGCTCCAGGCCAGAAGATGGAAACTTGTTTGATACGCATTTCTTTTTTTTTGCTACGTTTTAAAAGTTCGCTCAAAACTCGCATTAAAATTGGATGGGGAAACAGCTACTGTTTTGTTGAGAAAATAATGACAATGTAAACAAATATCCATGCAAAAGTGATAGCCGATGTTAAAGCAGCGAATGTAGGTTTTTTGAGTTTGATTTGCAGAGCTAAAATTTCCTCCCGATTCCTGATCTGATTATGACCATGTTCTGCTGCAGTTAAGACACTGCTGGCTCGTAAATACTCCGAACAACCCTCTCTCTGAACTTTTTCTTTGAACACATGGTAAGCATAACACTAAAGTGTGGTTGTTTCAWTTACTCTGGTTCTGCAGAGGTAAACCCATTCTAATCAGGTTAACCTCTGGGACCAATAATATGGTGACAAAACCAAAACAAAGACAAGCGTTTTATGTTCCTTAAACAAAGCGTGCAACAAACAACAACCCCGTTTTAACAAGTCATGACTGCATCACACAATAAGTCCATTATCCTGAATGTTGCGCCTGTGTTTTCAAAGCGGTGAAGACGGTTTTCTAATTTGCTTTTGATCATCTGTTTTTATGCGTTTTTATTCGAGCCGCAGTGCACGTCGCACAGATCATTACAGAAACATTTAAAGCAAGAGAAAGGTTCAAAACAAACCAAAAACTTTCTACAGCATATTTAGGCTGTTATTTAGTTCAAAGAGAGTCCAGAACTGGCTGTGCTTGTTTGTTGCACATTACAGTGTGCAGAGAGCATGGCAGCAGGAGCCCCTGCTTGAAGCGTCGCGAGGCTCTGAGTAGGTGGTCTGTGTGAGCTAGCTCCCTGTTATCAGACGCCAGCAAAATGCCATTCTGCCTCTGTAGATGCACTGATCTCTTCCTCATGCGTTCACAGGGAAAGGTCAGATAGCTACAGAGCAAATTTCATTTTTAAACAGAATGATAGGACATGCCAGAGGGCAAAAAAACATAAGGTTACAGAGACATTAAAATAATAAAGGTTAGAATTTTGCATCAAGAAAATAAAAAAGAATCAAAAACTGCACATTACAGAAGTCTGAGATTCCAATTAGTAGAAACAAGGAAAGTTAATGTAGTGTTGCGGCGTTGCCAGGGTAATGCCTGTGTTCTTCTTCATTTGCTTTTGTCTTCTGTCACATCATCAATAAAAAGGAGTGACCCGGTGCCATTAGCACTCATGTGTGACCGTGCCATCACATGTTTCAGAGATGATGTATGTTCTGGATTATGAGCCGTTCCAAAGTGTCTCCATATTATTTTTATTTCTGTCATTCTGGCACGAGTAAAACTTGGCTTGATCTGTCGTAAATTAAACCAAACAGATCAGTTTTTTTATGGTTTTTGGAGTCTGATCTGGCCTTGGAGACTTATGAAACGTTGAATTCTCTGTATAGGTTTTCTTTTTCTCTTCATGGTAAGTTTGGGTTATGAAATCCTGACCTCCTGCAGAGAGTTCTTTCCTCGGCTGGATGCTGTGAAGTCATTTTTCTTTACTGTGTGTTGCGCTTTGTACACCTCTAGTCCCTTTTTATGTTACCAAGATCACCAGTGTTTTCCTTTTTTCTTCTTTCTCGTTCCTCAGCATGTACCAACCTTTGATTTGGCCACTTTCTTTCTGTGGTTTTATGGAGACAGTAACTTTCTTTAAGCGTCTTGCAGTGAGAACAAGTCCGATGAAATGTTGCAATGAAAGTTTCCCCAGATGTGGAGTCGACTCAGATGTTTTGATACAATGAAACCATTTTAGTTTACAGGATTGAGTGAATGCATATCAACCACATATCACCATAACATCCCCATTTACATAAACCACTGTTTTCTCTTTTAATAATAGCAGCAACATCTTAGCTTTTGTTCTCCACAATGCCTGAGCTGTTGAGAAAACTCCAACATTTCAATTGTATTAAGCCACAGCCACAATTTTCCACTTTAAAACATATAAAGTGGACAGAAAAGAGGTGGTAATGCAGGAAGTGCACCAAGGTGAAGTGGAAACACGCATTATCCTAAAACTTACAACACTTACCGTACACTTAGTGGAATAAAAACATTATGGATACAAAGCAATCGAGTGTTTTTTTCAACAGGCTTACGTGATTTTTTTACTGCCTCCATCTACGATTACACAATCATAAAGTGCAAAGAAAATATTGTCAATAAAACACACTGTGGCAAAGAAACTGCTGTCAAATCTTCCACACGCAGCAAATAAAAGTGATTTATGTCCAAGTGACATAATAATGTCACTTTAACAGATCAGTGAAGGCAGGGAAGTTATATAATTACAACTTGTGTAAAGCGTAGGTACTTACACTGCACCTCCAGGAATCTGCGCGCTCGAAAATCCTTGACTGCAGGATGGTCCACGATGCAAATCACTGGCACGCCGTCGTCCTCCTTACTGACGGCGAACGCCACCCGACTGGTTACTGTGTACATCTTGTCGTAGGTCAGCTCAACTTTAGGCTTTCCTGTAAAAACAAATGAACACAAAATGATTGAAAGTAAAACTTTGTTGTTTTAACAACTGATTTGGACGACTAAAGTAAACCAAACAAATTAAATTTTTCTTTTTCAAATTTAAATCCTTCAGTTGGGGTCAATATAAAGTGTAACTGGCTGGGCAGAAACCTTTTACTTGCAAATCGATTAAAATATGTGAACAAAGGAAGACTTGTCCATCCAGCCTTACATGTTGGAGTCTGACCCAGAACTAGAGAATGTAGACCAGCTGATATGTTCAGACCTTATTTAGAAGTTCTGTCACAAATATTGTGACGTAAAAGTTCAGAGAACATCTAAAAAAATGGAGAAAATTAGAATATTTTATTAAAATGTTTATATCAGTTATGCATGGATGTCCATGTGCTGATCTGACATTTTATTTTCAAAGGTGGGCTTTAACTGATGCAGACATCGTCTCTCTGAGTCGTCTCTTTCTTGCCGTGTCTGTCTCTATAACATTATTTTTAGAGTACATAATTTTAGCTTTGAATTGCGCTCCTTGAAAAAGAATGGATCCTGCACACTGTTTCGTAAGTGAAGCCTCAGGACCTTCTTTTCTTTAAAGAAAAATAAATAAATAAATAAATAAATAAATAAATAAAAGCAGCCCGTCCCACCAATCCTAACCTCATTTCAGAGTTAAGAAAACCAGTTATCAAAGAACTCATTTTCTGCTTCATCAGCAGACTTAATGAAGGTCGGACCAAAACGTAAACAGAGATTCAGCAGTAAGACACAGCGTGGAGGCTCAGTCTGTGTCTACTGCTGATAAAGGTATTCAAAGTAAAACATATATATATATATATATATATATATATATGAAACTTTAACCTGCCATGTGGGCGACAGCCCGTCAAGCTCAGGAGTTTGAGGTTTTCTCAGTGTCTCAGCTTCTAATAGGTGCTCTTTTTGACAAAGATCTCTTCTGTTTTTTCCTTGGAATCTGCTGAAGTCTCTCTCCCGGCATGGGGGTCACATCCCTGAGTGCTCCGATGACCACCGTGGCTTCGCCTTTACAAAACCACTCGACTTTCTCTTCTGCTCTTCATATTTCTCCAGCTTCTCATATCCTTTCTTCCTGCTGTCACTTCAGATCCCCACATCTATAATGTCATCTATCATATCTTTTTATTTATGGCGGAAGTGATTAGAGTGTCCTTGATAAAGGTCAGATGTGATGAATTAGCTAAAAATAGCTAGCTGTCCTTGGCTATAATGGTAAATCACTCATTATTAGGCTTTGTGACATCAGATTTATCGTGAGGCTATATTTTGCTCAACATTTCCTGATCATATACTTTCAAAGCGAACTCCGTCTCTGAGTGGCTGGTCTGTAATTTCACACTGACACCGTGTTCCCTGAAAGTAAGGAGGCTACGTGCAGACAGGGCCTGTGAACATCACAGTCACAAAGCAGGATTGATTACTTTTATCCCTTTGTCCTACTTTCTCTGAGTGCTTTGCACAAGTGTGTTTGTGTTGTATTAGGAAAACAGTTGGGGAAAAAAGAAGGTGAATGAGTTTGCAAAAAATAAAAATAAAAAAAAGAAGACGCCGGATCAGGAGAAGAACTTTCTATCCACCCCTCTGCTGCAGCTCAGCCATCGGGGCGATGCCATTGCCATGGTGACGGCTGTCTTTTAGCATGCCAGGAAAGCAAACAGTGTAAAGGAATGGGTTGTCATAAATAAAAACCACCAGGGGCTTCAGATGCATGCATGCAAAGATCAGAAAAGAGAAGCTAAAAGTGTCTGTTCAAATCTAAATGTCTCAAGCTGCACAAAACTGCAGTAAGCTTCAAAACACTACCTACAAGAGATCATCTACAGGTTTGAACCGAGTACAGAGGTATCTAATAATAAGCTGTAATTAGCATAAACTGTAAGGTTATTGAGAAGATGAATGAGCTGCCACCTTATTTCCTGCCTGTCCTTTCTTTTCATCTGTCTTCAGCTAAAAAAAGGAGAAATCATCTTTGCTTTTTAACGATTCCTTTTTATTCCAGTTTTGATCTAATAAGTATTTCTGCAGACCGACTCCTACATGAGGCCAACAAAGTTACAACACAGCTGTGAGCTGGTGGAAGTTCTTTAGCGGTTGACCGGCTGTCACTTTCCCCCCTCCTACACAGGATAATTTATTATCAGGCAAGCAGCTGCTAACTCAACATCCATTTGTGCAATGCAGAGATAAAATAAAAGAACCCTCCTGTGCACAGCGTGGCACCGAACCTGACTGGTGCTCACATCTCAGGGAAGGCAAAGTAATTTCAAAAGATGGACATCTGAGTTCTCAAACTGCGCAGCGTCAAATATTAATCGGCTCAAGCAGAGACAATGGAGCTGCGGAGTGAACCAAACAKGGTTTGACAAACCCCCGTGCCCACGGACCTCTGTGGAAATAAAAAGAGGAGGAGCAGAGCGGGGTGATGCACAGTGCAGCGTCGTGATGCAGCAGAGCAGATGCACAAACAACCCACTGAAGTAATCACAGCAGCTTCTGTCCACGTGGTGCCATGTACAGGCTCCTGTGTGCTAAAGGCATCAAACAGCACACTGTACATCAAATTAGGCTAATCTCTACAAAATGTCAATGTTGATTGTCTATTGCACTCCTCATCTAAAGTAATTCTCTTGTCCTTTGTTTTTGATAGGCTTCGTAAAAAAAATTAGCTGCTTTAAATTGAACAGTGGCATGCAAGCTCAATATCTAAAAAAATTTCTGAGCTACACCCATTTTTGTGTTTGCCACTGGTTAGCCATCCGGAATAAAAAGCTTAGTTTAAAATTTTTGCACGATTGGTGGCTGTAGTTTGACTTCCTGTAAGAAATGCACCTTTTAAAATTTTCTTTTGATGATAAAATTGTGTTCTGAATAACAGTTTTACACTAGAAGTCCCAGGAATTTTGACCACCCCCCGAAGTCCTGAAAGGGTCAAAAGACCCTTAGTCCAAACGGACGATTCTGATGGCTCCAATTAGCATCCTTTCATTTGTAAATGTGGCTATTGCCTTAGGAATCAGCAGGGGACAAACCCCCCTTCTGCTTAGCAATATGAGACATACAAACATCTTTCTTTGTTGTAAAAACAAAATGTATAGACATCGTTGTCGACACGATGATGTCGTCGTCGTCATCAACGTAGGCACAGAGTTTTGAGTCAAAGGGGGGATATGTAGGGGCACAGTTTTGGGCCAAAGGTGGGATATGTAGGGGTACAGTTTTGGGCCAAAGGGGGGATATGTAGGGGTACAGTTTTGGGCCAAAGGGGGGATATGTAGGGGTACGGTTTTGCCGCCCGATGATATTCTCACTCTGTTTCTCAAGTGTTCCTGCTTAAAAGTTTTTGCTCTGAAGATATGGTGTGTTGCAAAGAACATAAGTGGATGCCACTGTATTTTCAGAGCTACGGTAAAAAAATGTAAATATAGTATCTGATTCAAGTAATATGTGTTTAGTAAGGTTTTGTCTTTTTGTTTTCAATGAAAATATCAAATCAGTCAGAACTGACTAGGAGCACAAAAGTTATTTTGTGGGACAGTTTAGAAAATTTACAAATACCACATTTACACCTGTGAAACACATTTACGCATGTGGCAGAAAGTAATTTACAGCTACTTGAATAGCTGTAGTCCTAAACGCAGAAACACTGACAGGAGTGGATCATTATTTTTTACCCTTCGATCGTGTTTGGAGCAAAGAAAAAMACAATGGCACCAARGAAGACCTACACTGCTTTGCAAGTTTTGGAATTACTAACTGCTATGGATGACTGCGAGTCCGATGGAGGAGAGGAACTAGCTTTTGATGAAATAGATGATTCAGACACTGATTTGAACTTAGAACTTTCTACAGATGAAGATAAATGGTAAATGGTACTGAACTTATAGAGCGCTTTTCAAGTCCCTCCGGACCCCAAAGAGCTTTACACTAACATGCATTCACCCATTCACACTCACATTCACACACTGATGATGGTAAACTTCACTGTAGCCACAGCTACTTTGTAAATATTGTAAATAAAACTTGCTGCTAATTCCTGTTTATGTATCTTGATTCCCTCAGCCATGTCTGCAGCCCAAAACTCTGCACCTACATATCCCCACTCTTTCCCAAAACTCTGCACCTACATATCCCCACTCTTTCCCAAAACTCTGCACCTACATATCCCCNAAAACTCTGCACCTACATATCCCCACTCTTTCCCAAAACTCTGCACCTACATATCCCCACTCTTTCCCAAAACTCTGCACCTACATATCCCCCCTTGGCCCAAACTCTGCAGACATGGCTGAGGGAACCAAGATACATAAACAGGAATTAGCAGCAAGTTTTATTTACAATATTTACAAAAACAGCTTACACAAGCAATATATACATTTTGTTTTTACAAGAAAGAAAGATGCTTGTAAGATACTATATTTACAACTTTTTTTTACTGTAGCTCTGAAAATACAGTGGCATCCAGTTGTGTTCTTTGCAACACACCACATCTTCAGAGCAAAATCTTGTGAACAGGAGCCCTTGAGAAACAGAGTGAGAATATTATCRGGCGTGGTGGGTGTGTCTGGATTAGCTGCAGCCAAATGAACAACAAAAGGCAACAAATAGCCTTCATATTACTTATTTTCAAAACAAAAGCACGCGTTCACAGCTGATTTAGAATGTGAGCTAAAATCCTTGAGCTCAATCGATCCCTCTCTGGGTTCCAAAGGTAGAAATATTAAATGACCCTTCTCTGGGACTTCTAGTGTTTATGGACTGAGAAGGGGTTCTCTGCAGTGACTAAATAGGAGTTTTTTACTTTGTGGGAGGAGTTGGCCCAAGATGTGATTGGTCAGATTGACAGTGGGGTTTGAAAAAGCAACTCCACCCACAGGACGTGTACTGCAAAGCAGAGGAGCTAATACATCATTCAAAAGAGCGCTCTAAAATGAAAATATTTAAAAAATATATCACTGTACAGTACTTACTCCAGGGTAGTGTCTGTTTTATTTGCATCTGATTGTCTAGGAAGATAAAAAATGATGATAAACAAACAAAAAAAAGTTAGTTCTAATGAATTAGCATTAGCTTTCCATTTGAGAACATCTCAGTTTGCCAACGACTAAAAATATTCATGGAGCCTGACTCTGAAGCTGTGCCATTTGAGATAAATGTCAGCGACGACAGCTGATGGTCAAATAAAAGCTAAAATTGCATTTTGAGAGCTGAGAAGATCCAGATATGAGCTCTGTTAGTCCTCCTTTTTCCTGCGCCTCCACATTTCATGTCACTGAAGTTAATTAGTATGCAGGATTTTCATGGGACAGAATGGGGTGGGGGTCCTGTTGTAAGAAATATACACTCTGTCTCTCCAACACCATCATATACTTTACTCCAAGTCCGGTTTTAGCCATTTGTCTGGACTTCCTGCTGGGGCAGGGCGGGTTAATTGAAATCACCCTGTGGTTRTCTCTCAGCACTCGAGTCTAATGGCTCTTCTGCTCCCTGTCAGTCAATAAAAAGGGCCCTGCTGCCAACTGCCTTATTTTTCTGTTAGCTTTACAAGAACAGGAAGAAATGCCCTGTGCTGGAATGATTTCTCTTTTTATATGACTTTCACTGTATTGTTAGCTTGGAAAGTGGAGATATCGGTGTCAGGGCATAAATCACTGAACAAACAGGATAAGAGCAGTGTGGGGGGGGGGATAATGGGTTGGTGTTTATTAGGAGGAATAGCTGGATTTATAGTTGCGAGCTAAATAGTTACAAACATTTTCTTGTATTTGAGAGTTTATCCTTTAGGATAATTAAGAAGAACTCTCAGGATGTTTAGAGCCGAGTCATACTGTTTCTGCATATTTGTCATTTTCCTAAACTCTCCCGTGTCGACACTCTGACTCTGTTTACACTGAATGACAACCTCACAACACACTTTATGACTGACCTGACCAACGGCTGGATAAAGGTACATTTAAAAAGCCTTTTTCTGAGTGAAGACAGTCATGATGCTACATTCTTAGCATTCACCAAATAGATTTGTCCTGCTTCTTTATTAGCATTTTGTCATATATAATGAAAAAAAAAACTGATTATAGCTGAAGTTCATGAAACATATTTCGTCCAAACATTATCATTGTGAACAACGAGTAAAGCAGGACAAATAAAACAATTACACAGGACAACATATAAAAACACAACAGTTCCATTAGAAAAGCCAAACAGCAGAATGATCCTGCTTAAATGAGATATCTGCATTAAGGTGACAGCTACAGCACTTATTAGTTTCACCAACATCATTAAAAGCAAGAAATGTGAAACATTACCAGCAGTTATGTTTACATACACTAAAAGAGAGGACTTCCTTTGAAATGCTGTTTCTCCTGGATGTTTGAATATAACTGCTTGTCCTTCTCACATTTGGTGTTTCACTGTTTCTGATCAGACACAGAGAATCCGAAAGCTGTTCAGGTTTGTAAAGCTGGAGAAGCGGTGCTCCTGGCAGGCATAAATCCACCCTCTCGAAAGTGCAGCTGCCTTGAAGTCTATTATTATTTTCTTACAAGAGCCGCCTCTGCTCGCACTAATTCTAATGTGTCAGCTACAAGAAATCCCTATCAAACACCCCACAAACACATGTGAGGAGCTGCTTTCTGATGCTAATCTCCAAATCAAAAATGGGGGAAAAAAAACCCTCGTTTTGTGTCAGCACAGTTGCAGCTTATAACCTCAGGTTTGTGTTTTTAAAAAAGCCAAATTCCCAACAAAACCCCCTTTTTCCAGCCATCACTGACATACCGTTTCCTTCAGCTGTAAAGGTTCTGATTTCATAAACTTATCGGCGTCTGATGAGAGCGAAAGACAAAGTTTGTGGTGGAATTTCAGCTACATCTGCAGATGAAATGATGACTCACAGGTTACTCTGTGTCTCATCATTTTTTTCTGTTAGTCATGCTGCAGTCAGCTGGATTCGCAGTGATGTTCCAACTGTTTTTTTTTTCCCTTTTCTTCCTAAACTGTTCCGGTGATGGGGCAAAGCAGACGCAGCCAAGTTGGATTCAAAGCTACAGAAACTGAAACAGGCTCTTTGAAATGAGGATGAAAACCAGGATGCAAAAAACACACAAAAAATACAAAAAATAAACAAAAAAATCTTTATGTTGAATTCAAACTTGAGCTAAAACCTTATCTAACACTCATTAAAGCCTAATGTTTTTTTTAAAAAAGTTAATTTATTTCTTAAAGAGACACTTCAGATCTTTTGAAGTGGGGTTCTGTGGGCAGGGTATGAACTATTAATATCTCACCTGCTTTAGATAGCTCCTTGAATGATTCAGTTGTTTTTTAAAAAGTGGAGATTAAATCAGACCCAAAAGATGAGCTAATGGCTCATCTGAGTGGAGTTAAAGTGAACTGCTGTTGTCCTAAAATAATCCAGCCTCAAAAACATTATTATGGTTTACATAAATATTAAAATTTGTTTACAATATAGTTATTTACAGAGAGTTATGTTTTTTTCCGCAGCAGGAGCTGCAGCTCTTCCACTTYCTTCTAGCTGGAAATCAGAACATTTTTGACAAAATAAGCATCTTTTGCCTTTTTCTTCCTAACTATTGATAACTAACTTTTTGTTGCATCTATTTTCTATGTTAGATTTAGCAAACTGATTATCCCAATCTGATTAGCTTGATTTTTTGCATCTGTCATTATAAATACTGACCAAATTTTCTCATTTAAATATAATTTGTTGCTACTTTCATTGCAAGGTGATGCTTTTTTGTGCTTTCCAGCATCCACTCGTCAGCAGAAACATGATCTGATCTGCATCCTTTCTGCCAGCCAATCCTCGACTTTCACACATTGTATTATTCTCAGATTGGAGCTGATCAGTGGAGGCTTAAAGTGCTGCATTGTAGAGACGCTGCCTTCAACACAGGTTCTGATTGGGACCTTTGTTTGAAAGTCTTTACAAAGCTCCAATCTGGGCTCTGAGGTAGAGTTGCCTGGCGGGAGGCCTGTTCAACCCCTGAGCTCTGCATCGACTTCTAACGCTCAGCTACCTTTGATGAAGGCAAAGCGAGCTGTCGGGCTGCCAAACCAGCTCTGGCCACCTCCGCAGATCCACAAAGCTTTAACGGAGCAGACTTTAAGCTCAGCGTAACGACTGGCAGCACCGACAGTAAATACGTTTATTTAAATGTATGGCATGGAGGCTTCATATAAACGAACAAGTGCGAGCAGAAATTAGAGTTCAGCCCCACTCGGATGTCAGAGTTAAAATCCTGCAGCTCGCGTTGCTTCCAATCTGTGTGTGTTGTGTTTGCACTCTGAGTAGAGAGAGGAGGGAAAAAAAGTGTTGTGTGAATGTTGCTCGTTATGTAAAGAGGTTTCAGCAGTCAGTGTGGAAAAACAGAACCGTTTCTAGTTTACTGCATAAACAAGWTGCAGAAACACCACAACCCTGTTGCTTGTGACTTCACCCAGGAAGGGATAAAAATAAAACAAGTCTTTTGTTTCCAGGTAGGTAATTATTTTTATGTCATAAAGACAGAAATGCTCCATTTTAGAATGATTCAAAAATAAAACTTGACATTTCTGTKTAGTCCACAGAATCAGTGTAAAGGTTTTCCATCAGCTGCTTGTTATAACAGTTGTGTGTTTGTGTTTGAGGCGGCCCACCTGTGAGCTCTTTATCTCCCTTCATCCATCTGATGGTGGCAGCGGGCTTACTGCTCATGGCCGTGCAGGTCATCTCTGTCTCGTTGCCCTCACTTAGCACCTCATCTTTGGCTTCGATGATCGGGTTTCCTGGAGGAACTGTCACAAGACACAAAGCGTCGTGAGGAAACTTTTGCACCCACAGCGCTGCACAAAAACACACAAACACACAACACAACCTGCTTTACAAAGAATTTAAAGACAGGAATTCGAACGACATTCTCAAAAACACACAGCCGCAGACTGTGAAGGTGATGTTTCATCGGGTTCAGTAACAACAAACTGTAGATACGTTCAGTCAGCTAATAAAACTGTTTTTTTTAATGAGATCTTTGGCACAAACTTTTGATGAGAGCCGACCTTCTGAGTCCCTCAAAATGTCAGCAGAGAGGAAAAGCTGACTGGATTGTGCGATGACACTGAGGACGAAGCACACCGAGCAGTCATGATCCTGAACTTTAGCTAACACACCGGGACTTAAATGTCTCAGATTAAAAAAAAAAAAAAAATTTAAAAAGATTTCCTGCCATGTTAGGACCATTTAAACAGGGCGGCTGTGGTGGAGTGGTTASGGGGAGTCGTCCTGTAACCGGAGTGTTGTCAGTTAGATCCCCCATTCCAGCTGTCTCATTCGTTGTGTCTTTGGGCAAGACACTTCACCGGCCATGCCTACTGATGTTGGTCAGAGGATCCGGTGGTGCTGGTGCATGGCAGCCCCGCCTCCCTCAGTGTGCCCCAGGGCAGCTGTGGCTACAATGTAGCTTACCATCATCAGTGAGTGAATGTCTGTTAGTGTAAAGTGGTTTGGGGGTCCCCATGGGGCTTGACAAAGTGCCATATAAGCTCAGATCATTTTACCATAAATTGTGGATGGTCTTCACAGGGTGGAACAGGAGCATTGATAACATTGGGTGGTCCATGATGGTTCTGATCATGAATATGTTTGAAATGAAGTTCAAGGATGGAAATTTTTTATTTGTGACAATAATAGACATCATTTAACCCCTTAACAGTTGCCTTGGAACTCCTTAAAAGCCTTTTGACATTTATTTTATGTAAGGATGTCATGCTAAAGGTAAGAACAGGAGGAAGTCATCTGACACAGTGGTTTTAAAAACAACAAAGACTGTTAATCAAATATCCAAATCCACTTTTTTTAGTCATTATATGCATTTTTGAAGTGTACTTGTTTGTATTCTCTATGACATTTCTTTGAACTATTATGTCAAATTATTTGCGATGGAACTTCTAAATACGGTCTGGACTTATATACAATCTGGTGGTCTTCATTCTCCTCTGGCTCTGATCCAGACTCTGGCCTGGTCCAGAGTCTGACATGTGAGGCTGGATGGACAAGTTTTYGCTTGTTGACGTCTTTTMATTTGTTTGTAAAAAAAAWTTGTTTCTGTGCAGCTATATAGTCGTAACCCCTCTATCAAACCGGAATGGGTCGCTCTAGAAGATGGAGGGGGTTGGGGCGCGAAGAGCCTCATTTGGATTTAAAGAGACAGCCTCAAAAACGAGTTGAACTGAAACACAGCTGAGAAAAGGGGCAGGGCTTGTGGAGTTACAATAAGGAGGAATTCAGACCACAGCGTTGCAGTTCCACCTTAAAAGCATCATGTGTTTCCTTTAACGATGCCTGGCATCCCAGTGTTCCCGGTGTTTTCGACCTTCCTGTTGGTTTCATTTTGTTGCAGAGATGTTTATTCTTCCACCCACCTCACCTCTTTCAACCAAACTGGCACTTTGTGTGAAAGCAGCAGATAATCTCTCTGCCTCATCTCTGATGACACGTACGCTGCTTTGCATGTTGCAGCTACGCTCAGAGACGGGTCTGCGGAACGTTTCCCCTGCTGTRCGAGCGCACCTCTGACAGACCGAATTGCTTCCAGTCCTCCTGTACGGCTGCAAACAGCTGATCTGTGTCAGTTTGGATGAACGCTTGCAGAATCTGCAGCTTGATCTCGAACAAAAGTCAAGTCCTATAAAGTTTTTTGTAAACATGCAGGAAAATAAATATCAGGGTCATTAGAATAGTTGCAGATATGTCTCACATTTATTTGAATTTTTTAAAATGATTTAGTTCATTTTAGATCCTTCGTACACAAAATACACGATTTAAATCTTCCCCAACTAAAAAAACAAACATCCTTAYGTCCTGGTTTTAGCATATTGAATAATTTAAAGATGATAACCAAAAAACAATTATTGCACTCACACCTGTTAGATCCTACTGAGACAGGTTTTAAGATTTATCTTCACCACTGAGTTAAAAAACTAACTGAAAATACGTCGTCTCCCATCGTCAAAATTGATTAAGAGGCTTTATCTTCCTCCCACCTTTGTGTGTGTGTGCGTGTGTGTGCTTTGAAGTCGTACTTAGCACTGTGATGTCAGCGTAGGCTTCCTGTGGGGGGTCTGTGTAGAGCTGGCAAACATATCGACCCTCGTCTGACAGCGAGACATTAGACAGCGACACCCGCAGCTCGTTCTCTGAGAAGTTCACCAGCTGAAATCGAGCGTCTTTCAGAGCTGAAGGAAAACAAACAAACAAACAAAACAAAAACTAATAAATACAAGTGTGGCATTTTTTTTTCCCTACAGCGTGATGATCTAACAGATGATCAAAATACTGTTTAATAATAAATGGAACATCGACGAGGAGCGAARACAAACAGGCATCAGGAAGGTAAACTGTTGAAACAGATTTAAACAAAGTCAGCAAATAATCAGACATTTATGYCAGAGTAACTGAAAACAAAACAAGCTACTGTATTAGTTTAAGTATAAGTAGGTTAGAGCCAAACCTTAAGGAACGAGACAAGAACTGGGCTCCAGGGGCCACAGTTACAGAAGGCCAAAAGCTCAGGGGCCGAACATCCAGCCATTAAATCCATTATGTAAATAAATAAAATATTACAAAGATCTATTGACTTTGAATTAGTTTATTTTGCAGCCTTCAATCATAAATAYAGCATACAGAACACAATATAATGAAAGTACTGTAGTGATATTAAAACAATCTAAAAAAACAAAAACAACATATCATACCTCCTACACAAATATTAATCTTACATCTCTGATTTGCCAAATTCTTAAACCAATTTTATTTGTGCTTAGTTTTTTTCTTCAAATGCTTGTAGTTTTAACTGTCCTAGGTGTTCATACAGGGTTCTTACAGATCAGTCAAGTTCAATTTAAGACTTCTACAGACTTTTTTAAAACGTCTCTTGAATTAAAATTTAAGACCAACTTCACAATCAACACAAATGTAAAAAAAAAAGAAGTTAGCAACAAGTTTACCCAAATGTTCATTTTAACACAAAACTAGCTGCGAGAGGCATTCTGTAAATTATAAAATAAAAGTCACCAATTGTTTTAATATCTGAAATGGACTGCAATCATCTTACGTAAAATGTGTTAACATTTTTAAGACTTCTGAAAAATCAATTAAAGCTATTTTAAGGCTAATTAAGGCCTTATTTTTGGATTGATGAATGTCTTTAAAGACTTTTTAAGGATCCGCAGTGACCCTGTGATAGTAATGTTTTTTTTACCAGCTTTTAGCCAAGATTCTTATGAAAAACTAAAATAATTTATTGTAATTAAAAGTAGAAAACTGGGGGTTTGGGGTTAACAGATTAATGAACCAATTGGCGGGCCGGGCTTTGGTCACTTGTTGGCTGCATGTGGCCCGGGGGCTGCCAGTTGAATAGCCCTGGACTAGAATGTGTTTTTTATTTATCAATTATGTCATTATGTTATTAAATTTTGTCTGAAATTTTGGGTATTTACGAGTAAATGGGTGTGTGACATTCTGTCTTTTAGCAAAATATTTCCTGAACCACTGAATGGATTTTTACTAAAACTCCAGAAAATAGTTGTTGGATGTAAAAAAGATTAACTAAAGATTGGAGCAAAAGAAAAGCAAAACAAAAATGTGTTTATCTCAGCCAATTCTGTGTTTTCCTGAGAGCTTATAGATCACCTGAGTTTGTTAGTAAAATATCTCATGAACCACTGGGTGGATTTCTTTTAAATGAAATGTTCAGAAAGTTATTATTTAGATGAGCTTTTTTTTAAGAACCCTGGCCTGCAAGGTGATGACTGATGTGTGTTTTTTGTGTTTGGCCTTTTCATACAAAATGGTTTTGCTCAATTCTTTTTATACTTTATACAATTTATCCTGTCAATTTTATTGAAATATTTAAAAGTACAGTCATAAAATTAACTAAATGAGCAGCAATTTGTTTTGGAATGAACAAATATAATTTGGTATTTAATTTTTCTAAAGCAGCAACCTACAAAATATGAAGGTTTTTATTTTAACTCTTTTATTTAAAGCTTGTAATAAAAAAAAAATCAGCAATAGTAGTGGCTGTTTTTTTGTGTGTGCTTGGCTTAAAAGAAAAAAAAAGGCAGACAGAAAATGTTCACACTGTTTTTTTTTGTAGCTTTCAACGAAGGAAAACTAGTCCCACAAAAAAACTAAGTAGTGTACATCAACCAGTCATGTGATGCAGTTTACAATAAAAATTTAAGACAAGAAATAAAAAAGCACATTTCTTCTTTCTGTTTAAGTTCCAAAAGCAGAAATCTGGAGCGGACATGTTGCAGATTCTTACAACACCATTTGTAATAAGAGAAGCCCCATTCTGAGCCGTCCTTTAGTTGGACGACGCAAGAACTGAGGACAAATTTCCAAAGCCCGTCCACCTCTCATCTGCAGTCACTTTCATCTCACTGAACCCCGTTCGCCCACCTACCTGAGCCGACTCCATCAGCTGGAACGCACGGTGACAACATGTGGTTAAGATGAAAGCCGACCCATCTCCATCTCCCTTCAGAGTGCTGATAAATTCTGCTCTGACTGACAGCGACTCCAGGCTGTTTGCACCCAGAACCCCCTCAGATCTGTGAACTCATCCTCTGGCTCTTTTCTTTAATAAAATAAAAAAAAAAGCTTAAATCGTTAAATATGGAAACTCCTKACACAGAGCACCGCCAGACAGACGGAAGGAAACTGAGAAACAATTGAGTCACATTACAAATTCAAACACCATTAAAGGCYTAGCTTTCATTAAAGGAATGTACGCCACATTTTTATACAAAAGTGTTTGACCAAAATCCTCATGTTGAGAAATGAATCATAGATGGTTTAGTCAAACACAAAATCTGATTAAATAAAAACTAATTAATCTCAGCTACTACCACAAAAAAATCACTTCAGTATCAATAAAAACTGACTGAGTTACACCCTATATTGGCTATAGAGGAAGGCAGCCATCTTGAATTAGTTAGACTCCAAATGTTATTAGCTGTATTTTTGATAGTTATGAGTGTTTCACTAAACTCTGTTCAGTGACTCAGGAGATATTTTGCTAACAAACATGATTAACCTAACCTCTTCAGCCCCAAGTTTTTTTTAAATGTTTTTGCTCAAAATAAAGTGCTGTGATGTAATTAAGTAACTCTACTTAAATTTGAACWGTGAAGCAGTAATGATCAGGGTCCAAGCCCATTTATGCACGTCAACTATGGCTCATGTCATTTCCCTCATCCTGTCAACATTGTGTAACAGATTATTAGCATGACAGGGAGTTTTTATTAGGGTCTGTTTGATGGTCTTGTGTCACAGCATCTTTTCAGCTCCTTCTCCATGAGTGTGCCCACATATGGTTCTCATCAATTAAGGGTCGGCTAAATGTGTCTCCATTTTTGGTTTTAATCTTAATATTAAAATAAAGCTAACACTTGGGCGATTTCATCAGAAATGTAAGTATCAGAGCAGCTGCTGTTTCAGAAAAAGTGAAGCTGGAACAAAAATAACTTTTTTTCCCACCTCAAGACATTTTGCATTAGACAGTATACAGTAGATATCCTTTTAAAAAAATAGAATGAACAAGACAAAACTTTGGAAATCAGACATCTACTTGTAGACGTTACATGTGCAAAGATTCATATTGCTAAAWTAAACTGGAGCGAAGTTACAGTTTTAGTAAAGACAATTTGTTTTGYCATTATGYACAGGATGGAGCATGTTGGTTCTAGAAATCTTAGGTTTTTATTCTTCTTTACATGCCTGAAAAGACTTGTTTTTAATATTTGTTTAAAAATATACCCAAGYATGTATTTTTCTTCATATATACTATATATATCAATGAGAAATGATTATTTCTAATTTCAACCAGAGCAGATTCACTCAAAATCAAGTTAAAAAGCTTTCACAACTTTAAAACATATTTTGGGATTTTCTTTGCCAGAACAGATAAAAACATCATATTTTAGATATAGTTTTGTGTTTAAGTTCAGTAGAACATTACAGCCATTAAAGTCAATCGTAAATGTAATAATTTCAGCAGGTTTCAATCAAATTCATTCAGTGGTTCATGAAATATTTTGCTAACACAGGCAAAAACATTTTCACCCTTCTATGTTTGGCAACAGGCGATGAAAAAAAGCAGCTCGCTACAATTGTACTTTAAGTTAAAACAGAAATCTGAGCTGTGTACATGATTGTTTTTTTGTTTCTTTGTTTAAAAATATGCATTTTTCTTTATAATGAGCTGTTTTTTTAAAAGGTCAAATCCCAGAAAGACAGAAAACATCAGATGTTTTGAGCAGATTTGAACAAAGTTAATTAGGTGAAGAGAAACAGACAATAACTCATGAAGGTTTGCTTCACAGTCGAGCTTAAAATAAATGTTCAGCCCGACTCAGACGGCTGGAGTTTCTGTCAGAGAATCTGATCAGCAGCTTCCCTTGTTGAACAGATTGATTAGAGCTTTTAATGTCAGGCTAACTGGACTATTAAAGAATGAAAGCTTTCAGACTAAAGAATGAGTGCTGCTTCACAGCTTTTAGATGGCCATAAACAATGTGAACGCTACAGAACGAGAAAAAATAATCCTCAGGTGGATTCATATTGCCCCCCCTCCCCCCAAAACACACACACACACACACACACCATGGTTTTACAGACACACAGGTCCATGAAGATTTTACAGCTTTTTCTGTTTGAAAGAAAACTGTTGCTTCTTTTCAACTTAAATTTAATAAATACCAAAAAAAAAATTGACCTTGAAGCACGGTTTCTTTCAAAATTCATTCCAACTGAAGAATTGTTTTCACTTTTTTAGCAATTTGGTTTTGTGCACAACTGTGTAAAGGTAATAAGACACTATTGTTACTTTCCTTTTAAGCTGACTTTCTGCAGATTTTTTTTTGCAAAAAAGTTGCACAAGGTCTTTTTTAAAACTCTTTAAAGGTTTTTTTATTTGCTTCTTTTATTTCAGTTTTCATCCCAGTTCCAGTAGTTTTTTTTTTATTATTATTAACTGTTATTGTGAATTTAGA